AAATTAAATATTTCAGTTAGAACCAACTGTTTTTATTGGTTTGAACATTAAATCACTGGAAGGATTTTAATAAAACAATCATCAGATTTTCATTTAGAACTAAAAGATATTTGGAACCAACTTGATCCAAGATGGCCGCCACAGCTAACCAACTTTAGCTAAAACAAAAATGGCTACAAATGAGTAAAATTTACCGACATTGAGCTAAAATTTGGTGTGTTAGCAGCTGACAGTCGGCCCTAACGTGGCGGGTGATGAGCATTCTTTCACAAAAAGCAGCTTTTTAAAATCCATTTTCCTGAAAGGGAGCAGAAAAACGGGCATCTTTTAATTTGCCTGATGAAAAATCAATATCAGCTCATTTATCCGTGTGAGTTGTCGTCTGGTTTGACGAAAGGCCCGAGGGCCTGACGCGAAACGAACCTCCGAGCTGATTGATGACGGCGGCGGAGCGACACGCCGAGGTCATTGATTCCTCTGATTTAATCCCAACACGGRGGCCATGTTGATTAAAACTTCTGCCCGAGAGTTATGGCTGATAACGCTGTCAGATTTCTGAGCAGAAGTGCTGACGGCCGTCTTATTTCCCTCATTTTTCCAGCTGATAATGCACATCCAGCTCGTGTCWCGCCATAAAAACCCTTCCTCCGCCTCTTGGATCACTCAGACGTGGCGGCGTTTTCCGGAAATCCTCCGTTTTCTCCGTTACACAAATAAATTGCCTCTTTTTTTTTTTACTTTGTTGGGTCGTAAATCAAAGAATTTACACCCTGGAGTTTAATCAATCAGGAAAACGCGGAGCTCATTACGTAAATATGAACAGATTGTGCGATCTTTTAGCGTAATATCGCTGCAGCGCTCCCGGGGGGGCCGAGGGGGGGCTGTCACTTAACTAATGGGACCCCATAAATCCGCATCTGTCCCCTCGCTCAGACGTCGCTCCAAAGCGGGAGAAATGTGACGTTTTTCTGCCAGTGAAGTTTAATAAAGACGTGTTGTTGCAGGAAGTTACAGGTGTTTGACCAATTACAGTGAGAGTAGTGCTGATTTGCACGTTAGTCACCTTCACTTCATCCTGATCAGCAGAAACATGACAGGAAATAAAAAAATCAGGTTTTATTTTCTTTAACGTTGTCACTCGGTGTCGACAAAGAAAAGAGAAATATAATTTTAACCTACATCTGTCTGTTAGCAAAATATCTCACAAACCACAAGACGAATTTTAACAAAACTAACAGGAAATATTAACTACATTTTTATCTACAAATGATTAGTATTTGGAGCTGATTCATGTAAAGATGGCCGCCACAGCCAGCTCACTTTGACGAACAGAAAAAAGGCTAAAACTCAGCCGGTTTTACAGATGAAAAGCTAAAATTTATTATGGTAGTAGCTGAGAATCATCCTCAAAACAAACTTTAAGTGCTGCTCACTGAACAAAATATTTGCTTTAAGCTTTAGCAATTAATGATAGTCAAATCTTGTTTGTCTGTTAGCAAAATATCTCAAGGATCTCACAATGCATTTTAGTGAATTTTTCAGGAAATAATCTTCAGATGTAAATCTACAACTGATCAACTTTTGGAGCCAAACCGATTCAAGYTGGCCGCCACAGCACACTCAACTATGCAACCAACCAAAACACAAACTCTAAGCTAAACATCAAGTTTGGACCAAAAGATATTTTCAGCATTAGTTGATCTTAGTTCAGAGCTCCTGCAGCAGCAGGTGACATGCATCCCTGTAAAGATTTCCTCACATTAGAGATAAACTCCTGCAGCAGCACGTCTGATGTGGCTCCAGGGTCAGGATCCAGGGTCAGGATCCAGGGTCAGGATCCAGGGTCAGGACCAGAACAAGAAAATCACTTCTTTAGATATAAAACATGACTCAGCGTTTCAGATTTGACTGCAAACAGGATTTAATGACTTCTAATTAAAGGATGATAATAAGGATAATAATTTAAAAATAAGTAAAAAGCAGGAATTTTAATATTTAGTTTATGTTTTGGACAAACATGGTTGAGAGAATGATGAATATCTGATCTATACCTCCATCTGGTGGCTAAATTAAAGAATACGCCACATATGTTTTGTATTTTTCATGTTTGTTGCAATYATTCTGCAATAATTTATTTTATTTGAGCCTTTCTTATATCAAAATGTTTAGCTCATTTAGGAGATGGGGCTGTTTTGTAACTTTTGTATTTTTTAAAATATTTACCTGTACTTACAAAAAATGTTGCTCAGAGATCTAGATGAAATCCTTCAAAAGCATTCTCTGAATTCAACATTATTCCTCTGGTTTTGTTTATTTTTTGGCTTCTTTTTTGTTTATTTATTTTTTGCGTGGCAGTGCGCATGCACCTCCTCGTTTGTGGGCGTGGCAGTGCGCATGCGCCTCCTTGTTTGTGGGCGTGGCAGTGGACTCAGAGGGCGGTTTGAGTGCAGCACGCGCTGATGAAGTTTTGGAAAAGTCGTGCAGACTTCTTGCAGCCTCTTCGCTTCTCCTCCGCTGTTTCCCGTTAAAGTGAGGGTTTTTTCCCGGGGAAAAGTCAGCTGACCTCCAGGTAAACGTCCACCGAAGCCGTTACCGTGAACATGGCCTCCGCGGAACTCGGTAAGTAAAGTTTTATTAAAGCTCCTCGTTATAAAGTCTTGCTTCACGATGTTAGCTCAGAGGCTAACGTTAGCTTAGCCTGGGCAGCTTTTCGTTCCTAAACCACAGTTTTTACTCCTTTTGTTTGAGTTTAAAGTGAATTAAAAGTGTTTCCGTTCATGATGTGTTCGTTGCAGCTCTTCTGAGTGTCTCAGATAAAACTGGGCTGGTGGAGTTCGCCCACAGGCTGGTGGGTGTGGGTCTGTCTCTGGTGGCTTCAGGTGGGACAGCCAAAGCTCTGCGTGATGCTGGACTGGCGGTCAGGTGGGTTACCTGTCCTCCTRCAGTCCCTGCAGGGCCAGGTGTCCTCTCTAACCTGTGGGTGTGTTTGCTGTGTGCGTGTCAGGGATGTGTCTGAGCTGACTGGACATCCAGAGATGCTGGGGGGCAGAGTGAAGACCCTGCACCCTGCGGTSCATGGAGGCATCCTGGCCAGGAAGACCCCCACAGACTCTGCAGACATGGAGAAGCTGGGCTACAGCCTGGTCCGGTGAGAGAAAAGCAAATATTTAAAGCATTTAAACATGCATACATATTAACTTTAACAGAATCAGCTCTGTTCAAAGCAGAAAGATTAACCCKCCTGCTGTCCTTGGGTCATAACCCCGGACCTCAGGGGGTCTTRGTGACCCAGGGTTCATCTGAACTCAGGTCCAACTTGTGGCTTTCAGCTCSTTTCTGTTATCAGAAACACGTGTCTTTGATTTTAGCCCCTTGATTAATGGAAACCTGCTGATCTGACACGTGTTTGTTTGTTTTATTTATTTATTTTATTTATTGTCAGATTTCTGTGATTTCTTTATAGCAGTTTTTAAAAGTAGTAAATTTGAAATCTGTAGYTAGCAAAATGTTAGCTAATGTAGCAAAGTGATGGCTGAAAGTAGAAAAATATAATTAAATGTAGCAAAACACAAATTAAAAGTAGCAAATTGGTAATTAATTGGAGCTAAAAGTAGCTTTATGCAAGATAAATTTAGCAAAATGCTAGTTAAACTTAGTAAAATGCTACATAAAGTTAGCTAAATGTTAATTAAAGGTAGCAAAACATTAATTAAAAGTAGCAAAGTGCTAATTAATTGTTGCAATATGGTAGCTAAAAGTAGCTTTATGCAAGCTAAATTTAGCAAAATGCTAGTTTGTAAAATGTTATATAAAGGTAGCAAAATGCTAAATTAAAAGTTTCAAAGTGCTAATTAATCATAGCAATATGGTAGCTAAAAGTAATGGTATGCAAGCTAAATGCTAGTTAAAGTTAGTAAAATGCTAAAAAGTTAGCGAAAGTTTAAATAAGTTTCAAAGTGCTAATCATTTGTAGCAACGTGAAAGCTAAAAGTAGCTATATGCAAGAATAATGTAGCAAAATTTTAGCTAAAGTTAGTAAAATGTCAAATAAATATAACAAAATGCTAATYAAAGTAGCTGAAATGTATCTCCTGGGTCGTAATGACAGGCCTGAGAGGGTCAGCTGGAGGGTTCATCTAAACTCGTTTCTGTTATCAGAAACACGTGTCGTCGATTTAGCTTGTTGATTATTGGAAACCTGCTGATGGTCTTGTGACTCTGGTTTGTTTAAAACAAGAAGAATGTGATTAAATCAGACTTTGCTGAGTTTTCAGTAGTAAATCAGAGCTGAGCACACATTAAAAAATGTAAAATAATAACGTTAATAAAGATTTTAAATGAAATGTCTCAGGGTTAAGAAGACTCCCAGGAGGAGCCGTATGTTTATGACCTTTGTGTTGATATTAAAGTTAAAATGTTTGTCTCTTTTAAGAGTGGTTGTGTGCAACCTSTACCCGTTTGTAAAGACCGTCTCTAACCCAGGAGTCACAGTGGAGGACGCAGTAGAGCAGATTGATATCGGTAATTTCACCTAATGATTTATTACATTAATGTGTTTAAAAACCTGAAACAAGTGGCTAAACGAAGCATGAAGATAAAAAATAAGCTCCTCTGGTTGTTTTAGGTGGCGTAACTCTGCTGAGAGCTGCAGCCAAGAACCACGCTCGGGTCTCCATCGTGTGCGACCCGGCTGATTATTCCCGGYTCGCCCTGGAGATGGAGAGCTCAGGAGACAAAGACACGACACTGGAAACACGCAAGACTTTGGCTCTGAAAGTGAGACTTCATTCATGTTACACCTGTGAACCAACTTTACATCACAACTGGATTCTTTGTTGTTTTTGTGCATTTTCTTTGTAGCAGTTCCCTAAAGTAGCTAAAATTAGTAAGCGTGCAAGCTAAATGTAGCGAAGGGCTAGCTAAATGTATCAAAGTGCTATCTAAATGAGACACAATGCTAGCTGAATGTATCAAAGTGCTATCTAAATGAGACACAATGCTAGCTGAATGTATCAAAGTGCTATCTAAATGAGACAAAATGGTAGATAACTGTTTCAAAGTGCCATCTAAATGAGACACAATGCTAGCTAAATATAGCAAAGTTCTATCTAAATGAGACACAATGCTAGCTTAATGTATCAAAGTGCTATCTAAATGAGACACAATGCTAGCTGAACGTATCAAAGTGCTATCTAAATGAGACACAATGCTAGCTAAATGTAGCAAAGTGCTATCTAAATGAATCAGAGTTCAAGCTAAAGTACTATGTACTGACTAAAAGTAGAAAAACAATTTAATGTAACAAAATGCTAAATAAAAGTAGCAAAGTGCTAATTACTGCTAATTAATTTGGAGCCAAATGTAGRGAAGTGGTAGTTAGCAAAACTTTAAATGTTTTAATGTTTAAAATGTGTAAAACAACTAAATGCAAAAAAGTCTAATTCAACATAAAGTAGCCAATCCCTGACTAACAGTTCAATGCAGCAAAACATTAGCTTAAAGCTAYCATTARCATAGCCTGGTTAAAACTAGCCTCTTGTCCTATATAAAAGTTAAGTCATCGTATTTCTGCCCTGAAGTTTAAATCTTTGAAGCTTCTTCTTTATGGTTCTGCTGATGTAAACCGGGTCAGGTCCATCAGGATTAAAGGATWATTTGTTCAGGTTTTGTGTTCAGAACAAAGTCCAGACTAAACATTTTAGACCTTTTGAACTTTGACCTGATTGTTAAAGTTAAACTCAGTTGTTTTGGTTTAAAAACTTTCATATATGATATAATTTCCTGATTCTGGGTCAGTTTATTAAATGTTGGATGATGACTCAGCGTTACCCAGTTTGTTTCATCTCACTTCCTGTTCAGGCCTTCACCCACACGGCGCAGTACGACGACGCCATATCGGATTATTTCCGCGGTCAGTACAGCCGTGGGGTTTCCCAGCTGCCCCTTCGTTACGGCATGAACCCCCACCAGGCCCCGGCCCAGATCTACACGCTGCGCTCCGAGCTYCCTCTGAAAGGTACGAAACATCTCGACTGACGACGAGCTCCACCTGAACAGGTTCAGCTGAAACCTCCTTCAGCTGCGACAAGACGATTCTTTAATGTTTACTTTTATTTTAATGTGTTTTATTGTTTGACTTTATGCAACTTAATGATTTTCATTAAGTTTCAGATTTTAAACTCAACTTGTTTTCATTTTCAGTGTTTTTCAGCAGGACATTAAACAACAATTTCAGCTAAAATTCCTTCTGAAAGGCTAAAGAAGCAAAGTACAAGCTGAAAGTAGTAAAAGGCTAGCTAAAATAGCCAAGGGGAAACAAGTAGCAAAGTGTTGCTGAATATATGTAGCTGAATGTTTGCTGAAAGTAGCTAAATGACTGAAAATAGCTGAATGGTTGCCAAAAGTAGCTCAAAGGTTGCTGAAAATTTGTTGAATGTAGCTAAATTGTTTATAAAAGTAGCTGAAAGAAGCTAGTTTGAAACTAGCTAAAGGGTGGTTCAAAGTTTGCTGAAAGTGGCTGAAGGTTTGCTGAAAGTGGCTGAAGGTTTGCTGAAAGTTGCTGAAGGTTTGCTGAAAGTGGCTGAAGGTTTGCTGAAAGTGGCTGAAGGTTTGCTGAAAGTGGCAGAAGGTTTGCTGAAAGTGGCAGAAGGTTTGCTGAAAGTGGCAGAAGGTTTGCTGAAAGTGGCAGAAGGTTTGCTGAAAGTGGCTGAAGGTTTGCTGAAAGTGGCTGAAGGTTTGCTGAATGTAAATGAAAGTTTGCTGAAAGTAGCAGGAAAGTTGCTTAATAGTTACTGAAAATAGCTAAAGTATTGTTTAAAGTTTACTGCATGTAGATGAAAGTTTGCTTAACGAAGCTAAAGTGCTGTTGAAAATGGAAAAAGTTGCCAAAAGTAGCTAAAGTATTGTTGAATGCTGAAAGTAACTGAAGTGTCGTTAAATGTTGCTAAAGACTAGCTAAAAGTAGCAGACGTGGAGTAGCTGAAAGAAGAAACAGAAGCTACAGGTAGCAAAAGGCTACCTGAAAGCATCTAAATGGTAGCTAAATMTAGAGACAGTAGCTAAAGAAGAATGTTTTTGAAGGAACTGAATAAATCTTGTTGTGTTTTTATGGGAAACGTAAATAAATCTAAAGTAATAAAACTAGGCGTCACATCAGCTGCAGCCTGAATGAGCCGAAGGTTTAGCTTTATTATTAAGCCCAGGTTTGTATCATAAGCTGCTGCGTTTTAAATAAATAAATAATTTGTCTGTCAGTGGTGAACGGTTCTCCGGGCTTCATCAACCTGTGTGACGCTCTGAACGCCTGGCAGCTGGTCCGGGAGCTGAGAGGCGCCCTCGGCATGGCCGCCGCCGCGTCCTTCAAACACGTCAGCCCCGCAGGTAAAGACGCCGAAACGCTCCGAGGCTGGAGGAGGCGCCGGCCACTTCCTGTCTGAACGTTTCCTGTCCTCCCTCTGAAGGAGCCGCGGTCGGAGTTCCTCTCACCGAGGAGGAGGCCAGAGTGTGCATGGTGCACGACCTGCTGCCGGACCTCAGCCCGCTCGCCACGGCGTACGCACGAGCACGAGGTCAAACAGCCGAAGTTTATAAAAGCCTGGAGATTTTTACCCGGGATTAAATGGTTTGTTCTGCYCCTCCAGGTTCAGACAGGATGTCGTCTTTCGGGGATTTTATCGCTRTGTCGGACGTCTGCGACGTCCCCACGGCCAGGATCATATCCAGGGAGGTAAACGGGAAACACCAGGGGGCGGGGCTTATATCTGACGTATAATCCAATTCAATCAGTGTTTTAAATCTGGTATTTCAGGTTTCAGARGGGATTATCGCTCCAGGTTATGAGGAGGAGGCGCTGAAGATCCTGTCAAAAAAGAAAAACGGGAACTACTGCGTGCTCCAGGTGAGTCCAGAACCCTGCTGGTCCAGCTCGGGTTTAATCTGGACCACATGATCATGTTTGTTCAGCTGCTTTATTTTAATTAGCTGAGATTAATCAGCTGTGGCGGCCATCTTGGTGCAGGGAGCCGGCCCTCTCTGAACATGAATGTTTTTACTGTTTAAATAATCCTAACTTGGTCAGTTTGGKTCAGATTTTCAAACAGATTTTTATGTTGTGAAGGTGAGACATGTTGTTATAAAATGACATATTTATAACGGACATTCATATAAATATGTTATTTTGATAGGTAAAGTATATCAATATGTACACAGAATACATTTAGGTTACTTTTACAGGTATTTACTAATAAAAATATAAATCAAAATTATACGCAAGTCAAAAATGGTACAAAATAGTACTATCAGTGGTAATTAATATGAAAGAGCCCTGTTTTATGTTTTTCCTTCTCTCAGGTGTGTGTGTGTGTGTGTGTGTGTAAGTAAGGCACTATTTTATTTTGTAAAAGAATTATAAAGGATAATATTTGCATGTCTAGGGAAAAACATTTTTGTTTTTTGTTGATTTAATCATGCTGTGAGTAAAAATGGATGGTAAAATGTGTTTCGTGTGTTTTTATCTTTAATTTGAGCCCAGAGTGAAGTCCATGTGTTGAAGCATTTAGAAATTACTTTGTTTATAAAAAGTGTACAGTTTGGACATATTGTACATACATACATGTGTACAAATATACAAATGGGACATGCTGGATTGTACTATGTCTCAAATATTCACATTTTATGCTACTGTTACCAGATTTGAACTGGTAATAGTTGGGAATCTATATTTTAYCCCCATGTTTTGTTTTCCTCAATATRTCCTTCCTTTCATGTTCTGTGAAACTTTATTAATAAAAATACAAAGTTAGGGAGAAAAATATCTTGCTTTTTGAGTATTGTTACTTCAYTAAACTAAATACTAGTTACAGTTACAAAAATGACTGAGTTTATAAATTCAGTTTATTAGTTTTAAAAAGAGACCAAGCTTGTGACTMTACTCTAAAGGGTTATGAGCAGTACTTTATTTAATTTGTGTACTTTCTAAGTCATTTTATGGTATTTTAGGCCCGCAGGTTGACAGGTTAAAGTYTTTTGAAGTGAAATGTATAATTTTTATGTCTTTAATCCAGATGGACCCGGGTTATGAGCCCGATGATTGTGAGGTGAGGGTTCTGTTTGGGCTTTACCTGAAACAGAAGAGGAACAGCGCTGTCATCAACAAGGACTTCTTCAGGAACGTGGTTTCCAGCGGCTCCGTGAGTCACGGTTATTAAACGTAAACTTCTGTTGAGCTAACAGAGCGTGCTAACGGTGCGTGCTAACCYTGTGGGCGTGTCTACAGCTGTCAGAGGAAGCTGTGCGTGACCTCACCGTGGCCACCATCGCTGTGAAGTTCACTCAGTCCAACTCTGTCTGCTACGCTAAAGACGGCCAGGTGAGACCGGCAGGTCRGAAGGTAAACAAGCAGCCGGATGTTTTGGACTTTCTTCATCCTCCTCCTCCTCCTCCTCGGGTTCAGGTCATCGGTATCGGAGCGGGTCAGCAGTCCAGGATCCACTGCATGCGTCTGGCTGGAGACAAGGCAGACAACTGGTGGCTGAGGCACCACCCCCGCGTCCTGAGCATGAAGTTCTGCAGCGGCGTGAAGCGGGCCCAGATGGCCAACGCCATCGACCAGTTCGTCAGTGGTACCGTGGGAGAGGTGAGGTGGAGACCAGTGCTTTGTGTGTCTCTGTGTGTGTCTCTGTGTGTCTCTGTGTGTGTCTCTGTGTGTGTCTCTGTGTGTCTCTGTGTGTCTCTGTGTGTGTCTCTGTGTGTGTCTCTGTGTGT